ACCCTCAGCCACACTCTGCTCCTCTCTCACCACGGCTGCTCGCTCTCTGGCTGGCTGGGAGGCAGGTTGCCTCAGAAAATAGCAGAGAGAAACGTTTGGCAACACACACAACTCCCAGACCCCCCAGGGAGGTTTGTGTCATGGGACACGGTGGCATGGAAAGCGCAGCTTGCCTGCCCCCACACGTGGAGTGGGGATTTGGGGTCTCTGCCTCTACCAAGCTGAGATCCCCAGGCAAACACGGCAAGATCCCCAAACCCCTCCCACCCGGGGATCTTCCCAGGGAACCCCTGCACAAACCAGGGACTGTTACCTGAGCTGTCCTTTGCTCCCACTGGCCTGAGCTTGGGCACTCCACCTTGGAAGAGACCACCCTTTGGCTGGATGGCAGAGGAGCTGGAGCCGTAGCTGCTGCCGCCACTGCCCTTGGGCTCTGGAAGCAGAGAGGCAAAGAGGTTAAGCCTGGTATTATCAGCTCCTCCAATGAGGAGCCGCTGGAAACCAGATGGGTGAGAGCCCAGAAGTCACCCTGAAGGGCACAGCAGAACCTGGGGCGGGGCTGAGCACCTCCCGAGGCCAAGCAGTACTCACTCTCCAGGATGGGTGCGCTCCGGTCATTGATTTGTGTTACTTTCTTTAGCTTGGTCCCTTTACAGATGTCCTGCAGGAGCGCCCCACGGCCCCGCTGCTCCTCTCGGCTCAGCTTGGGTGGTTCTGTGTTCGCCTGGAGACAAGGAGCAGCTCAGCAGGAGCTCATCTGTGTGCAGGGACACCCTGACTCCCCCTTCTCACTTCTCCACTGAGCCCAGAGGCACCCCCACCCCAACAGCCTTCTCCAGGGCCTCTTCCAGATGGAGCAACAGGGCTGCCCAGGAGTTCATGCCATCCTAGAATGCAAGGCTGAGACCCCATCCCACCCAGACCCAAGGCACAGCTCTGTTACAGCCATGTGCACAGTCCCCTGCTCCATCCCCCCTACCCACCGTAGAGCAGAAGACACTAAAGCAAAGAAATAGCAAGAGCATCCATGTACAGACCCTGCTGTGAGGGAAACTGAGGCACAGCCCAGGGGTTGCCTGAAGCTCTGGATGTGTGCCTGTGTGTCTCTGAACTTGAGGAGACACAGGGGCCCCTGACAAGTAGCAGCGTGTGGCCACCTCGTCACCCAAGGGGCAGCAAGAAGAGCCCTACCTGGCTGAGGGAGGGTGGGGGGGGTGGGCCAGGAGGCGGCGGCGGGGGAGGAGGGATCGGCATCCTGGCCCGGTTCCCGGCGGCTCCAGGGGCTCAGTGCTGTGGACAAGCCTGGACACTCATGCCTGTGGAGGAAGTGATCAGGAACTGGAGGGCAAAGGAAAAGCACAGCTCTGGGCTAGTGCTCTGTGCCTGCAGCTCCCTGTGGGGCAGAGGCTGGGCTGCCCTCTCTCACCTGGCTCCTGGGCTCAGTGTCCAGGTTCTCCCAACACCCAGAGCAGCAGGTCCCAGTGGTGGGAGCTGGCATGACACCCCACCCTGAAACACCAGGGCCCCCACGCCAGTGCAGAGCCTGTAGCTGGAACTCAGGGCATTCCTCATGCAACCACCTCACTCAGCAGAGAAAACATGGCCAAGCTAATCCTGCATCATCAATCCAGCTCCTTTATCTGCAGCCGGAGGCAGCTCACGTGGAAGTGCGACAGAAGCCAGAGCCTGCAGCCTGTCGGCAGCCCCTCCAGCCACAGACATGGTCAGCTCTGCCAGAGGGTGACCATGCAGGGGCAGATGAAGTGGCACAGGGCTCTCCTGCAGCTCATGGAGGGAGGGACACTCCCACCCTTCAACAGCCCTGACAGATAAGGCAGATTTATCCAAACTGCTCATATCCTGCCTCAATAACCTCCCAACACTCCAAAGGCTGGCTGTGCCCTGTGCCACAGCATTCCCACAGCTCCAAAGCCCCCCTTAAAGCTGTCCAAAACCAGCTTTCCCAACACCACTCTGGTTACGTTTCAATCCAGCTCACCACAAACCCAAACCAAATCCATCCCCCACCATAGCTTACCCAGGCCAGCTCCCAGCCCATGGAGTGCTGCAGTGGCGGGCCCAGCAGAGCCCGGCAGCTCCGGCTCGCACTGGAGACTGAGCACAGAGGAAGCAGGGGCAGGAAGAGGAACCTGAATCACTGGGAGATCACAGGACAGGCCCCTGGCAAGCTCGTGTCTCTGACAGCAGTGCATAGGTAGGGCCGTCCCAGAAGCACCGGCTCAGGGAATAGGAATGTGATGACTGGAGGCCTCACTCGCTGCCCTGGGAGTTTCGGGTGCTTGGGGCAGACCGAGAGGCAGGGGATAAATGCCCCTCTCCAGGCCACAGATGTCTTTCCCCAAGGAAAACCTGCTCCTTAACCACAGAAGGGGACCACAACGTAAGAGGAAGAGAGCTTCATACCTGAAGCTTCCGACCTTCCATCCCTGACCTCCAAGGCAGGCAACCAGAGAGCTCATGGATATGTCCACCACAACAGTGAAAAGTTTCTTTACAATCCAGGCCCTTAAACCCAGGCCCACAACCTTTGAAATGGTTTGTATCAGGTATTAAAATCCTGATCCCTCCTGACACTCACCTTCTGCCAGATTATCTACAATTTACTGACACCATGGTACACGGAGGCCAGAGCGAGACCAGGTCTGTCTTCACGTGTCAGACATTCCCACTCCCTGTCACAGCAGAGGTCTGAGAACAGGAAGAACAGACCAGCAGCACAGCTGCAGTGCCGGTGGTTCCCCTGCCCTCCAGGGAACCACCAGCTCCCTGTGGTTCAAGAAAATAAATAAATAAGCTGCCTTTTAATTAAAGGCAGCTCTTCTACAGAGTGAGAAACTCCTCTACTACAGACACCCTCGCTGGGGAGATGTTCCTCCCTCTATCTTCTGGCATTTTCTAACTCACCCAACATCCTCTGGTGGCATTGGCCACACCTCTGTGGAGCTGGGAACGGTGTGAGCTTGATCCTGCCGTGAGTCTGTGGGTCCTGGTCCACCTTGCCAGGGCAACCACCAGCCCCACCAGGCTGGGACGTGCAGCAGACTGGAATGAAGCCAGTGGAATGGAGCAAACCCACTTGGCCTGTACCTTTCCCACCAAAGCAAGATCAGAGACGGCTCGCAACGTGCTTGTCTGGAACCTGCCGGCACTGCTGGGACATGTTGGAACAGGAGAGCTTTTCCCTGTGCTCCTTCCTACCCCACAGCAGGATCGCAGGGCTAGGACAGCACAAGCTGCTACCAGGGCAGAGAGTGACATTGAGGGGACAGTGTGACAGCATCATGGCATGACCAGTGGGAGGCGATGGGCAGGGGAGCCCTGGCCTTGTTTTAACACAAGCAGCCGGAGGTAATTAGCAGAAATAAGCTGAGAAACGTGCCAGGTAATGAGACTCTTGACTTGGTCTCATGTGTCACTGGCCTGAGCCAGCACAGAAGCAGTGCCAGCACTGCAGGCTCACCTCCGCTCCTGACTCATGGGAACAGAAACACGTCACCTCCCCGTTACACTCCTGCCCCACTCATGGAGTGACACTTCCCACCCAGCTCTGCACCTCGACAGCTCTTGGGGTCACAGCAGCCCTTCAGACACTCCCAGGACAGGACACATCACCTCACTGTACACAGAGGGATGGGACTTTGTCATCGGTCAGAAAACCAGTCAGTGCCACATCTGCAAGGGAAGCACACTGCTGGGCCCCCCATCTGCCCTGCTGCCTCCTGTGCCAGGCATCTACGGACAATCCACTGCAATGCTACCTCCTGTGAGCACAGCCAGGGAGGGGAGGGGTCTTTTGCAAGGAAAACCAAGAGTCATTATCTCCCTGTGCCTAATGTGCCCTTAAAACCAGTGCTGCGCCAAAACCCACATTCAGATAAAGGCTCTGACCTGGAAGAGGGAGAGAGGAGGGGAAAGAGTTTAACTAAAGCAGCTCGAGGATAAACTGGAGCTGAATTCCTGAGAAACGGGTCATTTTGTTACAGCACATGGCCCCGTTCAGGTTGTGGATTAACAGCAAAGGTCACATTGAAAAACCAAAATCAAGAGGCACTGAACTCAGCACGTGGTGACTGCTGATTAGTTCATACCACAAGAGCAGCAGAGACCTCTGGGTGGGAATGCTGGAGTGATCCGTGTCTGTTTTTAAAACAAAGCTGCGGTCTTTAATGTGTGTAAGGACAGAGACAGCTGATGGAGATTAGGGAGACACAAGTTAAATCCTCCAGGAAGAAGAAAAAAAAGGGGGTTCTCCCAGCACTCCTTACCACCCCATACTGTCTGGCATACGCCTTACGGAAACCATGCCCTTGGAAACAACGCTGCTCCAACAGCCGACTTTGCTGCATTTCTTCCCTTTGTTCTTCCTTTCCAGGGATCTTTTCACTACACCAGATCTGAGCCTTTGAAAGCTCCATATGCTGTGGTGGCAGCTCACTGTGCTCGCAGGGAAAGTGGTTTGAAAGACCTGAACCAGGGCAGCGAGACACCTGCCAGATCAAAGCACTGAGAGCTTGTCTTGGGCACAGCCAGGAGGGGCAGGGGGTGCGCTGGTGTCCTTTAAAATAAAAAAACAAAAACCAAGAAAGCTGTGAGAAAAATGGGAGGAGGACAAGGTGTGAAAAGCTCTCACTTTGGAGAGTGAGCAGAGGGAAGTCGAGGTGACCCTGCAGAGCTGCTGCCAGAGCTGCTGCCCAGCAGCTGTGCAGGACCCCACCACGGCCACAGCCCGCTGTGAGAAAAATGGGAGGAGGACAAGGTGTGAAAAGCTCTCACTTTGGAGAGTGAGCAGAGGGAAGTCGAGGTGACCCTGCAGAGCTGCTGCCAGAGCTGCTGCCCAGCAGCTGTGCAGGACCCCACCACGGCCACAGCCCCCAGTGCCCCACGGCAGCGCTTCAGGGCAGCGTCTCCCAGTAGCCAACCCTGCCTTCCAAACACGCTGAAAACGCAACCACGTCACACTCAGCAGCCCCTCTTCCCTGTAAAACAGCTGAACTAGCCAAGGCTGCCCTGGACAGGACTAAACACCAGGTTTTTCAAGTCCCCATTTGCTGTGAAGGGAAATGAACAGCCCCCAGTGCCCCACGGCAGCGCTTCAGGGCAGCGTCTCCCAGTAGCCAACCCTGCCTTCCAAACACGCTGAAAACGCAACCACGTCACACTCAGCAGCCCCTCTTCCCTGTAAAACAGCTGAACTAGCCAAGGCTGCCCTGGACAGGACTAAACACCAGGTTTTTCAAGTCCCCATTTGCTGTGAAGGGAAATGAAATGCCTGCTCCATCATGCAGCCCTGGATTCTGCTCGTCCCTGGGGGGAGAGAGGGGTTTGCTTTTTTAGCAGGACAGGCAGCAGTGACCTTCAGACGCCGTAAGCCTTTCCTCGCCTTTCAGGGGGATTTGGGTGCCGTGGCGGATTTGTGTTTCACAGCCAGGCTCACAGCCTCTTCGAGCCTGCATTTGCAAACTGAGATGAAGAGCTTCATCCTCAGGGAGTCAGCGGCTTTGAACTGCAGATCAAGAGGAATTTCCAGCCCTCTGATGTCGGCTGCAGAATGCAGCTGCACCGGTTTGGGGACGACTTCCAAGGCTGGACCTCTCCAACACCTTCCCTCCCGCCCCCCGGCTTGGAGGGTGCCTTTATCTTCCACCTCTTCCTATCCAAACCCTCAGTTCCTCGTTACCCTGAGCGCAGCTCTGCCCAATTCAGAGCCTCTCCTCCCAAGCCTGACATTTTTGCCCACTCCTGAGGAGCGAGGGCTTCGGCAGCGCTGAAGATGCGACATAAATAATTTATCCTGAAAGACAGCCATCGCAGGATTTAAGGTCATTCAGGCTTTTAAAATCTTCTCAGCATGCTTTGAGAGAGCGAGCTGCCATCTCGATTTGGAGCGTCTCTTAAGAGCTGGTGCATCTCTGCGTGCAGACAGACAGACACACTCCAGCCCTGCGGGACTCAGACGTTCACTGTGAATTATTCACAACCCACGGTCACTGACAATGCGTTTTTAACAAAACCCCCAGCACAAAAGTTTATAACGCCTCAGGGCCAAATTCCACAGCCCTCGGTGGAGCTTCCCCATTCCCATCCCCTGGACCCCAGAGCCAGGCCATCCTTTAGCAGCGTTCCACCAAGCTCAGGTCTCTTCCCTTGGTAGAGGAAACCTTTAATCAGGAGTGAGGAACCATGTCCTGACATTAGGCCGCAGCAAAGAAAAGAGCAGGAAAAGCCCATCCCAG